TCCAAACCAAACACAATTTGACGATATTAAATAAAGCAACAAAGGGTGGAAGGCTATGAATTAGCGATCTAAAGCCAAACATTACTAAACAGTGCAAGTTTCAACAACAAAAATATTATAAAACAAAAATCTTTATTGCAATACAACACAAAAGATCCATCTCAGATCTGCAAAATACCGACTCTTTCAGTACAAATTATTTGCACCTAGCACATTGTACGGACAAAATATAGAGATAAAAGACAAAGGAGTGGCAATGCTCTAAAATGACATCAATTTCATTTTTTTTTCAGTCCAGTGCGATAGCAAAACGTTGGAATGGCTTATCAGTTGTGCTGATGATTACAAATAAAGTTGTAGTCACTATAAGCAGCATTCTTGCATTTTTAGAGGGTAGTGACATCTAGCAAAGCTTAACAGTATCAAATGGTATAATTAGCATGTACCTTTCATTTTTATTAGCAATGGACGTGATCATAATTAGCCATACTCCAACAATTTTGTTTTGGATTTATTTATTTATTTTACATGAATTTAGCTAAATCTTTAACTTGAATCTATAGTAACTGATCGTCAACCGTTACTGTTGCGGTATATATGTATATATATAGAAGAACGATTGCACGAAGCAAAAAATAGAACGATAAAATTCACACCAGAAAATAATAACACAACGGAACACATAGGTTTACGTGGTTCGGCAAATTGCCTACGTCCACAGTGTTGCAGAGGATTTTACTACTTGAGGAATTTACACAAGTCAATCACGTCAAATTACAAGAAAGAGTTTCTCACTTCTTCCTACCTGAGATTCAGCCTTTGACTTTACTCATAAGCCAATCCTTCACCCATGAGCAAGCACCGAAAAACCAAGGCAAAAGGAAGCCTTGGTCTACCCCTTCCCTGCCTTCCACTCTCATGAAACGGTCACAGGAGAGAACATCGTTTTCTTCTATTTGTTTGAGCGCCAAAGAGAAGAAAAGAATTGCCTTTTAGGCATGGGTCCACCACCAATTAATGTTGGCATAAGACATCTTTTGATTTTTCTCCTTTAATATAATTGTGGCTTCTCCTTCACATAGAAAGAAAAAGAAAAAGAAAAAGGCGACGCCGCCAGTAGAGAATATCAGTTTGAGGAAGAAGATGTTATTTATGTACCGGTCTCAAAATGAAATATTTGTTAAGAATGGACGATCCATGAATGAGGAGAATTGTTGAGATTAGTGGAGTTCAGTCCACTGTTTGAATATGATAGTTATTCTAAATTAAATGTTTTATTAATTTTTTTTCTTAACTGTTTTCGCCTCTTATCTCTTCCCTCCTCACATTTTGCATCTTCAAAATAAGGCAGTTGCCTTTTATGCTTGGGTCAACCACCAATTAATGCTGGCAGAAGACATCTTTTGGGTTTTCTCCTTTAATATGACTATGGCTTCTCCTTCACATAGAAAGAAAGAGAAAAATGCAATGTCGTCAGTGGAGGATATCAGTTTGAGGAATGAGATGTTGTCTGTGTACCGGTCTCCAGTGGGAAATTTGTTAAGTATGGAGCCCGACGATCCCGCATCAGCCTGCTCCCGCGCATACGCGAAGCGAAGACGCTTTTCCAGTTTTGCGAATCGTAGGCGCTTTCCTGCTCCCGTCTCCCGCTCGGTCGCGACATCTCCCGCCTCCACATTTCGCGAAACGATGCCTAATTGTGACTCTTCCTTGCTCAACTGTTCCCGCGCCAGGTTTCGTGATAAAAGGAGCGGCTCTCCTTCAAATTTAGTTGAAAGCACGGCCTTTTTTGTGTTCTTATTCAGGCTTTCTCGAGATAGAGGAAGAGAAGTGCAAGCAGTAGTTCCTTGTGGCAGAAGAAAGAAGAAAGAAGAAGAAGAAGATTGTTCTTTCTCTCTAGGCTTCTTCTTGGTCGTTTGTGGCAGAAGAGAAATTGGGCTTATTTCTCTTGTAAGTTTATTTTCTTCGATGTATCTCAGTGTAAAGAGAGCAAAGAAGTGAGAAATCCCTCTTGTAAGTCGAGAAGATCGACTGATATAAATTCCTCAAGTAGTAAAATCCTCTGCAACTTCGTGGACATAGGCTATTTGTCGAACCCAATTTGCCAAACCACGTCAATTTGTGTGTTTCGTTGTGTTACTATTTTTGTGTGAATTTTCTTGTTTTATTTTTCGCTTCGTGTCAATCGTTTATATATATACTGGTACAGAGACGTGTTTTGGATATGAGGAAGAATGATAACTGCAGATGAAGTGAGGGTTTCAGGGATCGAGAAATTTGATGGCACAAATTTTGGTTACTTGAGGATGCAAATAGAGGACTACCTCAATGGGAAGAAACTTCATTTTCCTTTATTGGGGAAAATACCTGAAAAAATAGATGATGCTGAATGAAATTTATTGGATCGACAAGTTCTGAGGGTTATTCGATTGACCCTATCGAGATCTGTTACACACAACGTTGTCAATGTGAGGACGACTGCAAATCTCATGACAGTCTTATCAGGTATGTATGAAAAGTTATCGGCGAATAACAAGGTGTACTTGATGAAAAAGTTATTCAATTTGAATATAGCGGAAGGTGTTTTTGTTGTTCAACACCTGAATGATTTCAATACTATCACAAATCAATTATCGCTATTGAAATTGATTTTGAACACCTGAATGATTTCAATATTATCACAAATTAATTATCGTCTGTTGAAATTGATTTTGATGATGAGATATGTGCGCTGATATCGTTGATATTATTAACAAATAGTTGAGAAGTCATAAAGATAACAGTTAGCAGTTCTGCAGGTAAATCAAAACTGAAATGTGCTGATATTTGTGATTTAATTTTGGCTGAGGAGGTGCGCACGAAAAATTCTAGCGAGATCTCAGGTACGAGTTTGACACTGAATGTTGATTTCAGAGAGAGATGACAGGAAAGGAACTCAAATAGAGGGAGATCAAAATCAAAGTATGGTCAGCAGGCAACCTGTTGTGGCAAGGCTGACCACATAAAGAGAAGTTGTAGGAATCCCAAGAAGTTGGAGAATAATAGCGCAAATGTGGTATCTGAAGAAGTACAAGATGCACTATTGTTGGCGGTTCATAGTAGTGTTGATGATTGAAGTGAAGAGGAGAGTGGGTCCGGGACACCCATTCCTATTGTTCCACATATAAATGTTGAGAACCACAGAGCTGTGAAAAAATATTGCAAGATGAAAGTTCGAGCAAGTGAGAGCTGACAGAACTTCCATCAGGAAAGAAGGTATTACACAAAAAGTGAGTGTACAGGGAGAAGACTGAATTTGATGGCAGTAAAAGGTAAAACGCTAGACTTGTTGAAAAAGACTTTCAGCAGAGGCAGGATATAGCCTATGTAATGGGAGTTGTAAGCAGAGACAAGAGTAACCTAAGAAATAGCTTGGAGATGCAAGACTATGTGGACCCTGTTGATATGTTGTCTAATGGTGTCACTCTTAAGAATCTAAAGTTATGCACAACTTCAGTTGGTCTTTTGGTGTGAAGACAAGGGCTTTGAAGTGCAGAGGTGGATGATTCATGTTTGAAGAAAAAGACTACGCTACCGGTGGAGGATATCAGTTTAAGAAAAGAGATGTTGCTGTCTGTGTACCGGTCTCCAAGTGAGAGATTAATTAAGTATGGAGCCCGATGATCCCGCCTCCGTCTGCTCCCGCGCACACGCGAAGCGAAGACACTTCGTCAGTTTCGCAAATCGTAGGCGCCTTCCTGCTCTCGTCTCTCGCTCTGTCGCAACATCTCCCGCCTCTACGTTTCGCAAAATGATGCCTAATCGCGACTCTTTCTTGCCCAACTGTTCTCGTGCTAGGTTTCGTGATAAAAGGAGCAGCTCTCCTTCAGATTTAGTCGAAAGCACGACCTTTTTGTGTTCTTCTTCAGGCTATCTCAGGATAGAGGAAGAGAAGTGCAAGCAATAGTTCCTTGCGACAGAAGGAAAAAGAAAGAAGAAGAAGAAGATTGTTCTTCCTTAACTTCTTCTTGGTGGCTTGTGGCAGAAGAGAAATTGGGTTTATTTCTCTTGTAAGTTTATCTTCTTCTGTGTATCTCGGTGTAGAGAGAGAAAAAGAGAGAGCAAGGAAGTGAGAGATCCCTCTTGTAAGTCGAGAAGACCGACTGGTGTAAATTCCTCAAGTAATAAAATTTTCTGCAACTTCATGGACATAGGCAATTTGTCAAACCACGTAAATTTATGTGTTCCGCTGTGTTACTGTTTTCTGGTGTGAATTCTCTTGTTCTATTTTTCGCTTCGTGTCAATCGTTCTTCTATATATGTATATACCACAACACATTAGTGGACCATAGATGTTTGCTTACGACACTTCAACATAAGCACATACAAAAAACAATGACAGAAATAGAAAGCAAATTTGAGCTCTGAGCATTGATTTAGCAGTAGCTTATGAAGCGAAAAAAAAAGAAAAAATACGAACATAAATGGTTGCATGGGGTTGACTAAATGAAGTTCTGACATTAAATATAAAATAATGAAATTACAATCTTATACTCAAGAAATCATTAGTTTAAATCAATTAATTAGACAAGGTACTATGGTATTGAAATCCAAGGGGTTACATCTGGGTAATAAACCAAATAGTTCTTTTTCGACAAAGATTTTATAGCTCTCCAATTCAATGTGATATGCTTAATTAATGGGCAAGAATCACAGATAACTTAATTTTGTAGAAAGATTTTCAATGATTTTGATTAAATTAATATTGTAGAAAGAACTTTGCGTAGAATGCTCCAATTTTGAACTGTGTAGTGAACCAAATGCTCAATCCACTAGCTTGGAACACAGTCTAAAGTTTGAAAGTAATTTTCACCTCAGAAATCTATGAGTGTCATAATGCTAAAATGTGGCATCAAGAAAGAAGACTATGTTGAACATTTATAAGCATTCTGTAAGCATTGTAGCACCAGTGCATTTTCCATACGAATTTGAGGAAAATAACCAAAAACATAAATACTTACGCATCATCAATGAACTTTGCTGCAACAGCAATACCCGTAATGAGCATGCGATGAACATTTAGGGGAGTGAGGTAAGTGCCTGTCCGAAGAAGAAACCTGTCAATGTATATGTAGGCTATGACAAAACAAGAAGGACTGCACTTTGAATACTTAAAAATGCGCTCAATATAGTCTTTTATTCCAATGTTAGGTGCTCTCAGCCCATGAAACATGGTAAGAATATCTTTTGTTTTCATCGATCCAAAGATCTCTTCATTTTTATGAATAATTCTCTCAAGGGCTGAAGAAAAGAGAGCTAACACGCATGGAAATTCAACAACTTTTTTCCCTGGCTCAGCCAACCCTAAACTTAGAAAGAGCTCGGGATGCATATCTTCCGTTTCATGCTGGAGAGAACCCATGATACGTCAGCAGAGCACCTAAATGAATCAATGGTGGAGACTTGGTTAATGATATTAACTGAAGAACATCATTGATCACAATGTACATAAGCAACGAGTCAGAATGTATAAGAAAGTCATTCTGACTTGGACAGCAATAACTCAGAACAAAAAAAATCATCTTTAACCACTGTTCTGCAAGGTAGCGTGATATGAATAATCTGATGAAAATGCTTCACTAAGTATTCAACATATCACTTGTTCGTAGCCACTAAGATGGCGATAAGATCGATTCTAGAACAAATATAACTCAGCGTTCTGTTTTTGGTTAGTTGGAAATAAAATTCTAATGACAATGTCTGATTACAAAAGTTCCATACACAATCAAGCAAAGATGGTTAAATACCCAACATAAACTCAAGATTTGCTAACAAGAAAAAAATCAAAAAATATTCAAAAACTCTAGAATCGCTGAATACAGGTTCCGAAAGTTTACAGAAAGACAGATCTACCTTCATTACCTCTTCCTACACGAACTTGTTTCCTTTCCCACTTCTTATAGTTATAAAGTCGACATAATAAATAGAATAGTGAGGAACAGTTAAATCTTACAGCTGAGGCGGTTCTCTAAAGAGCTTCGGCTGTTAAAGAAGATTGCCGAGTTGCTGTCATTTTCCCATTTGTCTGTAATGAAATCAGCAACTTCGGCCGGATAAAGAGTTGTGCTTTCAGAAGGGACGAAGAATAAATGGAGAATGAAGGGGGTTCCAGATTCAGGTACAATACTGTCGACAGCTAAAGGGAAGAGATGGAAAATAGAAATGAGGGAGAGTTGGAGAAGAAGACATTATTGAGTCGGTGGGAATGGGACCTCAAGCAGCAGGGTGGAAGATTTTTTAATTTTTTTTTTTTTTTCGAAAAAGTTCTTTTTTTGGGGCGAGATTTACATGAATAACTCACAATTATTATGCACTTGTATATCTAACATTTAAACATTCATATTTTTCTGTATTTCACTTAATTTTTTAAAATTTTGTTAAATATATCACAATCATTATCTTCTTAAAAATAAAATATTACTTCTCGTGCATCAAAATGTTGTATGTGTAGGCGGGCAGTTCTCTCTAGAATGCCTTGACAAAAATGAGTCGACTAGTATGGACAATAGTTGAAAGTGATGAATAGTGGGGATTGGCTTAAGTCAACCTTAAGAAGGGTTGGAACTTCTAGAATCCTACTTTCCCCCCTTCTTGCTTTTATGTTGGGTTTTTTATGTTGCTTCTCCTACAATGGATAATAGCTTTTCAAGTTTCAGATTGAAGAAGCTATCCATGGAGTCGTCTCATTTTCATGCATTAGCCTAGTAATCTTCAGATGTCCTGGCGAGCTCCTACCATCACGAACGCTATACAAAGTGAATGAACTGAAAGAGAAGCAGGAATCAACGGTCATTTGATGGTCCATGTATTTCGATGCCCTTGAGGAGGAGAATATCTCGCAAAATGATGAGATTCAGTTGTTGAAAGCTAGAATCGGTCGCTTAGGGAAGTAAATTGATTGTTAATAGAGTGAATATCCATGATGAAGATAGAGGAGGACCTTTTGCACGAGCATCCAATACAGTCTCGTTCATATGGAAAAGTGCAATATGATCTCGAAGTGGAAGAGCATGCAAATGTTCTCTGAGTTAGTGATTGATTCAAAGTCAAAATGTGATGAGGACACTTTGAGTGAGAGCAACAAAAATGGTGATGGCTCGTCTAATGTTAGATTCATTATTTTTTCTCTTCTATTACCTACATTTAATTGTTTTTTTTTTCTGATGAAATAAAATTTTGAGCGCACCTTATCTTTTATTGTTGTAACTAGTGAGCTTTAACATATTTTATGTGGTGAAATCATTAATGCATTGCTCAGTCGATTGTCGCCTCGTGTATTGCTAATTTAGAAAGCATAGGATGTCTAACCCAAGTCTCATCCTACCTATGTCTCAACTCTTATTAGTAAGTTCTTTGCCTTGAATGGGTTGTGCCTTTCACTGGACATTTTAGGTGGATCTAGTCATTGTCTTCATGGAGGCAACCGTCTAAACTCACTGTTGGGATAATTTGTGTGCTACTCAATGTGGTTTCCTGTAGTGGGGGGCATCTAACCATTAAGGCTTGAAATATTTTTTGGGGCTTGTGACGGTCGTATTTATGGTGATTGGGTGTTGTTAGGAATCGGATGAGCGATATGCATGAAGCAACCAAGGCCATTGTTTTCCATGTATTATTTGGTTGTTTAAACTAGTGAGATACTTGATAAAGAAGATGTGTCTACTCATTCTTTCTTAGGTTAAAGTTAGCTTTCCATGAACGAGTTCTCCTAGTATTTGAAAAGATAGATAAGTAGCATGTTGTCCTAGTTCCCTAAGTCAGCTTTGCTAATTACTTTTATAGCATTTTCAAAAAGAAGTGTTATGTTCAATCCTGTTAGTAAAATATAACATTTGAGAAAAATTAATAATAAGTCCAAAGAAAATTGTGACATCCAATAAGAATTATAGAAACATCTAAAAACATTCAAAAAAAAAACAAACATCTTAAGCGATTGAAAGGTAACAATGAAATGCAAAACACAGTTTATGTCATAGCAATCTTCAATGATAGAAAATCTTTAAGTTGTTTTTGCTCAATGTACGAGGCACTTCTTTTTTCATGGTATGCCTAATGTGACTTGTTTGATGATTATAAATGGTCTGCTCCAGCTTTTTCATGGTATGTCCCCACACGGATGGATCAATTTTCTTTAAAATGAGATCCTCCATGGAAGGTTTTCTCTCAGATGCGTTAGTTGTAGTATTGGGTGGTCCTATGTTTGATTTCTTCCTATTTAAGGGATGATTGTGAGAGCTTTTCCTCCATGGAACCAAGTGCGAGTTCCAACCATTTTTTATTACCCGGTAGCCATTCCCTTAGATTTTCCTATTTAAAAGTTGAAGTGGCAACTATCCTCTGATTGTGAACGTTGTATCTGACGGGTATCACTACTTTAGTTTCATGTGAAAGCATGAACCGGATTTGGTTGGTCAACGTTGATATTGTTGTTCACATTTCCTAGAGGGCAACATAGAAGAGGTTTAACTGGTTGCATTTTTTTCCCTTGACTTTATTTCTAATCAGGCTGAGGATAATCTTGTTGACAACTTCAGCTTATTCATTCATTTGTGGGTTGTGGACGGAGGAGAACTAAAAATTTATTCCTTAGCTTTGCAAAAATCCTTGACCCCTTATTTAAAAAATTTAGTCTTGTTGTCAGTGATGAGGGTAAGGGGTAGGCTATATCTGTAGATAATGTCTATTCGAATGAAATTGTGGATAACATTGATAGTTATTTGCAAGAGCACTTTAGCATTTACCCGCATAGAGAAGTAATCAACTGCTACTAGTATGTACTTTTATTATCCATTCAATGGGGAAGAGGGCCCAAAATGTTGAGTCCCCGAACAACAAACAACCAAGAATTTATTTTAGTTGTAACTGGTGTGGCATTTGGTGCTACATGGGCGCATTTTTCTTGGCACTACTGATACACCTAAAATATATAGTATTTTTATACACATTTTTATGCCTATTTTTGAGATATTGCGTTTTAATGAAAGGTATTTATATGTTTTTCTTTCAGGTACAATCAAATGGATGAAAAATGTTAAAAGTGGAAAAAAAAAGGTCAAATTTGGAGCAAAAATAAAGAATGGGCAAAATTGAATTGGGGCGCCTAAGCGTCAGAAGCTCGCGCCTAAGCATTAGGTACCCCGCGCTTAAGCGCTAGAAGTAGTTATTTGATGATTCATTGAATTTAGACAAATTTTTGAAGAGGTGTTTGAAGCAACCCTTGGTAAAAATATAAGAAATACCCCATGTACATGAAAATTCATTCAATTAGCTTTTGAAAAGTAGGAACTTCTAGAAAATTCATTGAATGGAGACACATTTTGAAGAGACACTAAAATAACTTTTGGATTTTTATTAAAGAAGAATTGAATCATTAAGAGAAGAGGTCGGCCATCAGCCATTAGAGCCATCATTCATCCAAGTAACCGCCGCCACAACCACCGACCACTTTCTTTTTATTTTGATTGCTAAGTTTGTATTGTGAGTGAAGGAAGAAAATTTAAAGGAACTTCAAGACATTTGGTGCAGAGGAATTGAGATAAGTGTTTATCTTTGTGACTACACTTGATTTTAATTTAGATTTCATATTTGTGTGCATGATTTATACTTTTAAACTCATGTGTGGTTGTGTTTTCTCAATGGATTCTAAGTAGTTTTCTTTATATTTTTCCTTAAAATGATAAGTAATTAAGTATTTAAAGGAAGCTTTGTTAAGTATTAGACTTTAACGTTGGAAGAAATTGTGATGATTTGAAACCATGCACTTAATTTACTTCTTGATTTGGTTAATTAAGATGTTAATATATGGTGTGAGAACATGTAAGATCTGAGATAGTATTGTCTCAGTCAATAAATGATAAATGATTAGAATCACATTTAGAATCACATATTGATTTCATGAATGAAAACGTAGTTCATGGGGTTGAGTGCAACTAAATAGGAAAATAAACTTTTTAAGGGTATAGAACTAGTGGACTTTAGAGTGACACGCTAAAGCCCCCAATTTGATTTATAGTTTTAGGTTTTGATACGACATGTTAGCCCCTAGGTGGAGGGAGAAGAGGAAACTCTAGAGTGAGAGCTAACATGTTCCATGCCTAACTAGTCTTCAAGTCTATTCAAAATATAGATTAGTTAATGTTCTTTATAGCATCTCTAGTAAGTGTAAATAATATTATTGATTCTATTTGGCACAACATATTTAGCATATTTCCACAACAAAATTTCTATACTTATTACTGATTTATAATAAAGAAAAATATATTTTTCTTTATATTGACTTCATCTTATAAATATTTAGTTAAAATAATTAATTGCTTACTTTATTTTCATAAATCCAAAAATTACAAAAAAAATTGAATTTTCATTCATATTAAAGTTTCTTAAGTTTAAGTAAGAATATTTTGCTAAGTAGATTTTTGTCATCTAAATTTTCTAGTTTTCTAAAGTGCATATTGTTATTTTTCCCGTGGGTTCAATATTTGGGGCTTAATCAAAAAGTTTTATATTACTTGATAATGATATGTATACTTGTGTAGTATATCATATTTAAATATTATAACTGTATTCTTATTTGTTGCATAGTGGAAAACTTACCTTATTTTTGCTTTGGATCAAGTTTTTGACTTTGTTGCAAATTAAAAATAACTATTAAGGATATTAAGCATATAATGACATACATCACATTTTACTTCTATATAGAAAGTCGGGATCAAGTTTTTGGTACTATTGTCAGGGAAAATTACAAAATTTTCAAAAAGTTTTTAGAAAGCAAAAATTTTTATTTTTATAAAAGTCGTAGTTAAATTTAAGATTTATTGTAGGAATATTGTAGTTTCATTTTTATATTAAGTTATAGTTTGTGTGTTTTTATTTTTATTTTTATTTTTATTTTTATTTTATGTGTTTTATAGTAATGTATGCATAGTTCAGGTTCCATAGGACTTATGTCTTACGATTCTGAATTAGAAAGAACTATTACAAAAATTAAAAATTAAAAATTAATAAAAAATTTCAAGAAATGACAAATCAAAATAACCAAAATGCTGAAGAGTTTAGATCGTTAAGACGTTATGCAAACCCTACGGTGGATGAACTTCATTGTAGTATTCAAAAATCAGATGCAGTGACTAATTTATTTCAGCTTAAACTCAATATTATCCAAATGGTTTCAAATAATCAGTTTGGTGGAGCACCAACTGAAGATCCAAATTTACGTATTGTCAATTT